CTGGTTGGTGTTGCGCTCTCTCTCTCTCTCTCTCTCTCTCTCTCTCTCTCTCTCTCTCTCTCTCGCACACACACACTTCCGGTGTGCCGCCCGCCCTCCTCTCCTCTCTCCCGGAAACACGCCAACAGTGCCGGAAAGAGGGGGAGATTGTGCGAATGGTGATTGGTCATGATTCGCGATTGAATGCGCGGGGCGTGCGACCGCGACGCCGTGACCCGTCTGACCCACTGACAGACGGACGGACAGACAGACAGACAGACAGACAGACAGACAGACAGACAGACGTCCGACGCCAACTTGACCGGAACCGGAAATGACCCCGGGGCGGCGGGGAAGATATTTTCCGCACCTAAACTAATTGCGTTTCATATGCAAGCACTTTGGGAGAGGCGCTCCTAAACTTGACCGTGTTTGCATTTCAAATGCAACTCTAAACTGTCCTCCCTGAGGGTCCTCCCCTCCCCTCCCCTCCCCGTCGCCCAGTCCCTCCCAGTCCAGCCGGCAAACGGGGCCCCCGACGGCGCGTTCGAAAGTGCTTGCCCGTCCGCCGGCCGAGGTGGGCAGCGGCGTGTCGTCGCTCTGTCTCTCTCGCACCGAGACGAAACGGCCCATGAGTGCGAGAGAGACACAGATAGGAAGTGCGCTGCGGAGAAGGCAGCCCGTCGTTCTGGACGCAGCCCCGGCGAGGCGCGCGGCCGCGGCTGAGAAGTAAGTTGAATCCCGCAGACTGATTCCGAGGAGCAGTGTCGCCGCTGTCTCTCTCCCACTGAGGGCCGTTGCCGTGGGTGCGAGAGAGACAGAGCGACGAATCGCTCTGCTGGAAGCGTTTTGAGCTCCAGAGTCGCTACACAGGACTCGACCCGAACGTGTGACCCCACCAATGGACTCCTCGTTCGGACAGCAACCCATTGGTGGGGTCACACGTTCGGTCCGAGTCCCATTCAGCGACTCTGGAGCTCAAAACGCGTCTGGGGTTTTGGCCGCCTCCACCGGCCTTCTGGCCCACCGTGCCGACACGCGCTACCGGTGCGCCCCTTGGGGGGCCCCATGGGGGGTCGCGCCCTCGCCCCTCCCCGACGTCATCGCCGCCGCGCCGCCAGCTCTCGAGTCTCGACGCCCTCCCTTTTTTCCCCGCCTTGAATTATACGAGTTGAAAAAGTTTTCAAACTGCAGTAAAGTTGTCGGAATGCAGGGTCGGGCATGTGCCGGCGTGTGCCATTCGGGGTGACTTAGCCGCAACCCTGTGCGTCTTGTTCACTCCTAAACTCCCCCCTCCGCCGCTGGGGGGCGCCCCGCAGCGCGAATGGCTCCATTTACGGCGTTTTTGTCGTTCCACGTGTTGTGAGGCAGCCGTCAGGCAGCCGGCGGGACTCGACCCGAACGTGTGACCCCACCAATGGATTCCTCGTCCGGAGAGCAATCCATTGGTGGGGTCACACGTTCGGTTCGAGTCCCATTTAGCGACTCTGGAGCTCAAAACGCGTCAAGGGTTTTGGCCGCCCCCACGTGCGGTGTTGCAGCGCGGTGGAAGGCTTCCGCGTTCTGCAGCCTGCAAGCCTGCAAGCCTGCACGAGCCCCCAGCTTGGAATGTCTCAGGCAGCGAGGCGGTGGAGGAGCAAGCAGCAAGGAGCAAGCGCTGCACAGTGGGCCAGAAGCCGGTGGAGGCGGCCAAAACTCTAGACGCGTTTTGAGCTCCAGAGTTGCTGAACGGGACTCGAACCGAACGTGTGACCCCACCAATGGATTGCTCTCCGAACGAGGAATCCATTGGTGGGGTCACACGTTCGGTTCGAGTCCCATTTAGCGACTCTGGAGCTCAAAACGCGTCTAGAGTTTTGGCCGCCTCCACCGGCGTCTGGCCCACTGTGCGCTGTGGCTGGAATTCTCCAAAACAGCGGCGCGTGCCGTGCTGCCGTACCGTGCACTGTGCGGCCAGGCCGCGCCACGCCGCGCCACGCCACGTGCAAGGTGGAGGCCGCGACTTCGGGGGCAGAACTCCATGTGGTTCCTTTGCGGTGGGAATTCCAAGCTCGTAAGGGAAGGTTCGGCCCCACGCCCCGCCCCGCCCCGCCTTGCCCCTCGGGGGCCTCGGAGCGGCCAGACAAGGTCGTGGGTACGCACCACAGGTACAGCCGGTTACCCTGGTTACCCTGGTTACCCTGGTTACCCTGGTTACCCGAGCCCTTCCAGTGGAGGCTGCCCTGCGTCTTCCCAGTGGCCGTCTACTCCGTCTGCGCTTACTCCGTTTACCCCACAGTTCCCCAATGGACTCACATGACATAAAAAAGAAAGACCCCAGCCTGGCCGGCCGCTGGCCCGCTGGCCCGCGCAGACCTTTCTCCTCCACTGCGAGCTTTCTTTTTTTCCACGGCAGTGTATTTCCGCTCCTTGTTGCTGGAGGCTGCACAGTGGGCCAGAAGACCGGATTCCAGACGCGTTTTGAGCTCAGAGTCGCTAAATGGGACTCGAACTGAACGTGTGACCCCACCAATGAATTGCTCTCCGAACGAGCAATCCATTGGTGGGGTCACACACTCGGTTCCAGTCCCATTTAGCGACTCTGGAGCTCAAAACGCGTCTAGAGTTTCGGCCGCCTCCACCGGCATTCTGGCCCACCGTGCTGGATGGAAGCGAGTGCCGCGTCGGTTACACGCCAGGCTAGGTTACACCATTACGCGGCCACCCGCGCCGCCCGAACAAGTGCCTGCTCTTCTAGAAGACGGCGCTCCGGTGCGGCCAGCACGCGGTGCGGGCGGCATGGCGGCACGGCGTCGTCATCGTGGTCCCTAAACCTCGCCAAGTGCCACCGTAAAAATAAGAATATGCATCAGCGCACGCCCCCACCCCCCAGCCCCCTCCCCAGCCCGTCAATCCTGCCCCCCGCCCGCCTTCCGGGTTCCAGGGCTGCAGGGTTTCATCCTTGGTTCCATCCTTGCCTGAGCCGTGGCCCCCGGGGGGCTAGGAGGGCCCAGGCGGGGCCCAGGCGGGCAGGCCTGCCTCTCCAGCACGCTGCGCGCTGCACGCCCTCGACCAGTATAAACCAGACTCCGTCACTCTGTACCACAGTGGGCCAGAAGACCGGTGGAGGCGGTCAAAATCCCGGACGCGTTTTGAGCTCCAGAGTCGCTGAATGGGACTCGAACTGAACGTGTGACCCTACCAATGGATTGCTCGTTCGGAGAGCAATCCATTGGTGGGGTCACACGTTTTGGTACGTATTCACTTTTGAATATTTTTTTAATTTTTCAGCGCCGGGCTGCGGGAGCCCCTTACCCCTTCGTATCGGTATGCGGTGAGGGGCGGCGCGGGCACGCAGGGGCGCGCCAGGCACGCGGGCAGGCGACAAGGTGGGGGGGGGAGGGGGAGGGGGAGGCCCCCCGCGGAGTGGAGGCGAAAGGAGGCGTCTCGCGGAGGAATGCCAAAATTAAAACATGACGGAGTCCACTTGGGCCCGGCTAGGGTAGGCCCGGCTAGGCCCGGCTAGGCTGGGCTATACCCTCGGCTATACCCGTGACATTTCAATGCTCCGCACGACGAAGCAGGCAGCCAGGCTGGTCAGGCGGGGCAGGGCCACGCACAGTGGGCCGGAAGAGAGGAAGCGGACCGCCGCACAGTGGGCCAGAAGACCGGTGTCGGCGGCCAAAACTCTAGACGCGTTTTGAGCTCCAGAGTCGCTAAATGGGACTCGAACCGAACGTGAGACCGAGACCCCACCAATGGACTCTTCGTTTGGAGACCAATGTGATGGGGTCACACGCTCAGTTTGAGTCCTGCATCCTTTTCTGCCCCCTGCCCCTCGAACACGAGAATGAGGCGCGCCGTTCTGGTGCGGCCCCGTCTCTCTGCGCCGCTCTGTCCCTCTCGCACTCGCGGGGCGTGCCGCAGGAGTGCCAGAGAGAGAGAGAGAGAGAGTCGAGGCCAGCCGTCTTCGCGCGTCGCCATTCGCACGCCAATTTATTGCAGCAGCGAGTCCAATCTATCTATCTATCCATCTGTGCGCTGGTTGTGCCATTCCGGCACAGGGCTCGCTCGCCACGTGCGGCCCTGCACTGTATTGTAGTCATTGCAGTTGATTGCGGACGGCTGGGAGAGGGAGGGAGAGAGAGAGAGAGAGAGAGAGAGAGAGAGAGAGAGAGAGAGAGAGAGAGAGAGAGAGAGAGAGAGAGAGAGCTGTGGGAACGGGAAGGGGAGGAGGGTATTGGAACGGACTGGGCGTGTTCTGGCGAGATCCCCCGGGCATTAATCCTGACTTAATTTCATTCCACGTCGCTGTCTTGTTTTTGGCCGAGTCTGGCCGAAAGGCCGGCCTTCCCCTTTCCCATCTCACCAATCCAAGGGCGGCCCCCACATATTCGGCCACACGCCCAGGATGCAGGATACTGGTCGCGCTGGCCACTGGTCCGGGGGCGAGGCTTGGCGTGCTTGCCTGGCTGGCCGAGGGAAGGGACACGGATCTGAATGGATTGCCGACCATAGCGCACGGTGGGCCAGAAGACCGGTGGAGGCGGCCAAAACTCAAGACGCGTTTTGAGCTCCAGAGTCGCTAAATGGGACTCGAACCGAGCGTGTGACCCCACCAGCGCATTGCTCTCCGAACGAGGAATCCATTCGTGGGGCCATGCGCTCGGTTCGAGTTCCATTTAGCAACTCTGGAGCTCAAAACGCGTCTCGAATTTTAGCCGCTTCCACCGGTCTTCTGGCCCACTGTCCAGCGCACCCAGACCCGAAATGAGGGCGGATGCCTCGGCAAAGCGGGCAAGGCGCCCGCCACCAACAATAAGAAGAAAAAATTGAATAGATTTTGGAAAAATTTCAGAGCCGCGCCATCAAGGTAGGCCGCCCGTTTGACACGCTGCGGCGGAAAATATAAGCCCCAACCGGGATTTGAATCCAGAAACCCAGACATGGCCGACATTTCAGCCTACTGAGCCACCGAGGCACTGATTGATAAGTTTCTGTCTAAAGTTGGAGTGATGGAAAAGGTAAAGAAGAAACAAAAATAAACTCGCAATTATCGGTTTATATTTTTCAGGACACATATATGCAGATTGCCAGTAAATACATAAATACAACTGGTGATATCTATACAACTAACATGCATTGCAATAACTGAATGCAAAGGAACAACTAGAGTGAGAATAGCATTCACAAGAACAAAGTTTTCATGGCATATTCAAATAACATTGAGAAATTAGTTTAAAAGGACAGAAGAGACTTTATACATGAGTAAGGAAAAAAACGTCCCATAGGTACTTAGAACAGTTATTCATATCATTTGGAATGTTAAGTATTGCAAACACAACATGCAATAAAATCTAACCATTAACACACAAAATTATCATAGAAAAATAGCTCCACAAAGTGGAATAACAAGTAAAAATTAGAAATTATGGAAATGCCATTCTTTAAATTATTTGCTCTTTGATACTGTTAATCTGAAGTATGCACAGAAGCAACTTAAGTCAGACTGGGCGCGGGTGTATATATTAACTTTACGCCTATGGCTACTGTTCCACAAGACATTTCGACAGTAAAACAGAACATACAACTAAATAAATATTCCAACGAATTCACAATTAAGGTAGGATTGAAACATAATACTGATTATAAAGAGTACTAGAACATTACAATCTCGCCATTACACTCGGCCCTGCCAGTGCGTCAACCTTGTCTCGCTTCCAACACGCTAACTCCCAACTCTCATACAGATAAATACCCCCTGATCCACACCTACATCACACAGTGGGCCAGAAGACCAGTACAGGCGGCCAAAATTCTAGGCGCGTTTTGAGCTTCACAGTCACACAAGTCGAACGTGTGACCCCACCAATGGATTCCTCGTTCGGAGAGCAATCCATTAGTGGGATCACCCGATTGGTTTGAATCCCATTTAGCGACTCTGGAGCTCCGTGTTTTCCTTAGAACAGTGTCCTACTAATGGCTGCAAATCTAATAAGGCTGCATCTATGACCAGTGGGAGTCCTAATGACTAACTTTTGTCTCTACACCAATGGGGAAAAGGCAGTTAATAGCAAAGCAATTCCATACCTTGCAAAGTTTTTTTTTTCTCCCTAGAAAATAGACTACTGATACGTATTAGGATTGGACTTAAGATCGGAAAATAGTTATCAGAAGTAATGGAAAATCACCTTTTAAAGAAGCATGGCAATAGTTTGAAAATATGATATGCACAGGAGTCTTATGATTTTCTCTATAAAAGAATAGTGATTGATTCTGATTCTGAAATGTTAGTCAAATTGACAGATTCACTGCATGTCAATGCATACTGCCAAAAACAACTGGAATTCGAAACACAACAATGACTATCGTCAAAGCAAATTATTCCCCCAATAGTGCCCATCTTCCACACTTGAACTCGCAGAATAAATACCTTAACAAAATATCTCATGAGAAATGAAAAGTTCTGCTATTGAACCATCACAAATTACTCAGTCTTGCCTTACTAAGAAAAAAGTCCTTCGACTACTAAAAAAGTGAGACAAATTTCTCTTGATAAATTAAGCATCATGCACTGTGCTGTACTCTTCATAATTGTATTGCAATTTAATTATTATGCAGTTCAGAATCAGAACAACTACTCACTAGAACCTCCAATTCATCAGGAAGTAGAAATACATATCTAAGCAAGAGACCAGCCCAAGAGCACACTTAACCAGACACCTAAATTTTAAATTAAATGTCAGAGTTTTGACAAAAATAGAAAGGTATCTTGCATCAGCATCAGTCAAGAGCAACGCAAGGATACGATATGGGAGTGATTCAAGACAAATCGTAAAACACTACATTTTCATAATCTTCAAACACTACAATGTAAAAAGAGTGATGAAGCATTTTAATATCATAGAAAATAGAGAAACATCAATCTCAAATGAGTATGAGTCAGGAATTATGTGTAATGTCATAGCATACCTTTATCATCTTGGAGGTCATTTCTGCAATAGTTGTTAAGGCATGGACAATTGAATCTATTGATACATAAGTCAGAAGTATGTCATGTCACCTACCAGCCCAAGTACACAAATTAAGAAATACAATTTATGAGAAGGAGGGGAGGGGGTTGTTACATTGAGAGTTGAATGCAAAAAAAATCACAATTTGTGATATGTTAGCTTTAAGTACATACATACTTTCGAACACTTCAAAGGTATGGAGTTTCAATCACAACAGCAGTAAGGCTAGAGCTAAGGCCGTCAATATATTCACTGCAATCCACAGCCTTTCTCGCCTTTTCTCTGACTTTTGTCCGACTGGCAAAGCATCCCAGTAAAGCATTTCATAATTTTAAATAAAGGAATCATTGGCAAGATAGGAAATGCTTTATCAATTTCAACATTCACAATCCTTGGTGACTTAATTCCTCCAATCGACGAAGATGTTCCATAAAACCAGAAGAACATGAAATATTATGACTGACTAAGCATTAGTAGCTGACAGTAATTTGCCACAAAATGTATGTCTTTTGTTAAAAAATATTGTACAATTTAACTGCCTAGAGAATTCCTAAAAAATATTTGATTAGCTTTGTTCAATAATGACCAACGACTACATAATAAATACAAATACAAATTGCGACTGGACTTGTCATGTCAGCAGCAGTATACAGAAAATACAATACAATAACTTAAATTTTACACTTTCTAAGTCAATTCAGTTTAGGCACAGATTTATTACAAAATATGAACATTATTACTTTTGGTCAAAACTTTAGTTACAAGACATTCAGGCATACTTATTTACACACAGAAAATACAGTTTAAATTGAACCTGATTACATGATACAAACAGTACTTGTACTGGTCTTCAAATAAAAGTATTGAAAAATGAGAACATGTCTATTTAATAATTAAGTGAATAAATCATTTAAAAAATCAAAGCATAGACTAGTATAGTAAGAGCTCATTTTTATATGCTGTCTTTGGCCCATATCTGTTTTGGCCTTGTGAAGATCAGATTTTTTAACTCTCATTCCTGCTTCATTAACAAAAAAAGTTACAGGTTTAGGTATCATTGGAGAGTTCTCTATTTAGAGACTAGAATCAGAAGTAGCTGCACTTACAAAACCAGCTCCCTTAATTAAAATAAGTGCAAACACACACAGAAGCATTGGCAGTGCTCAAACATTGTTGTCAAATAACAAAATGGACAATTGGATCAAATGGTTTCCTTCAAAAAAGAAAAACACAGAATAGTCAAGTTAATTAAAAACCCTTCCCTACAGTCCCTAGTCATTTAAAAATGATAAAAGCTTACACTTCAGTTTTCAATGACAAAAAGCCAATAATCCTGATATGTTGATATTGGACGTCAATATTGTTTTGACTACAAGGCCATGAGCATTGAAAAATTGACACTTCTACCAAATGATATAAGAGCATAAAAATTTGCCAAATAGCGTATTTCTCTTATGAGTAGTCTAGATTACAGCAGTCAAAAAACTTTTGTTTCACAAAGAGTAATTGACAATATGTAGTGTATAAGTGCAGCCACACTATCAAAAAGTCCACCATTATGGTAAAGAACGTCGAAACCACTTTTTCACTCGGTTGATTACCCATTACTCTCCAGGCTGAGTAAATGTCAATGGTGGGGATGAGGCTTTCTTTGAGCCACATCACTTAAACTGAGATGGGGCTTCACCTGGGGTACTGGACCACAAGAACCTTGGCCTGCCTGACAGCTCGGGTAGCTGCGAGGCACAGTAATAGCCTTTGTATTCAACTTTGACTTAATGTCCGTCTTGGAAACATTAGCAATGGCTTTGTGATGAGGTCCAGGACTTCTTACAGGTGAGTCGCAACCAGCTCTCTGTCCAGCACTTCGTAATCCAATACTGGGACTATGAGGAACAGTAACACCAGAACTACTGCTGGCGCTGCTTGAGCTCAGTTGCGCTGGCAGAGGAGACGCTGTGCGGCTTGTTGCTGGGCTCGATGAACCAGATCCCGAGCGATACCCAGAGCGCGACCCTGATGGGAGCCCCGATCCCAACCTAGGGCTCAGCATTGGTCAGGGAAGAACCTCTACATAGTTCTCCGGAACCAAGCCACTTTTACCATTTAAGGTGCCTTCCAGCCAGCCAGGTTCAAGAGATGATCGAACTGTGAAAAAGAGGACACAAAAGTTACCAAGTGCAATTCACTACTGACGAACAAATAAACAGCAATGTGTAGAGTGATAAATGAGCAAAACATACCATTGGTTATAATTTGGTTAGGTTCAAATGAGAGCTCCCCATCATTCTCTCCAAGACAAGCGTAAAGTGTTCGGACCCGTCTGCTGTAAAACAATGGAAGTTTAAGAATGAATTAACAGGGAAAAGAAATACTAATCTTTGGAAAAAAGATTTAGAAATACTTACAAAGTTTCATGTGGCTGGTAACTGGTAGCAAAGTGGTAATTCATCTTTCCGACAGCTCCTCTTTTACTTTTCTGAGGTATGACAGCTGAGTAGTTACTGTGCACATTCACATCTCTTGAAGACAGAGACGAAACAGACTCATTAGAGCTGCTAGTGCTATTTAAAGCATCAGCTCGGCTGGCATTAACTGAAATTTGAGCACATTCATCTATTAGAAAACAATTTCTAAACAAAAGTAAACCACAAAGCACCACAAGAGACATACCAAGAGCGCCATAAAATGGTTGAGCCATGGCCTTTTGCATTTGATGCTGCTGCTGTTGCTGCTGTTGCTGCTGTTGTTGTTGTTGTTGTTGAAGACTAAGAAGATTTCCTTCTGAGTAGGCTGTTGTTCGACTAGTTGGTCTCATGAGGCGTACCATGTGCCTTTGTTGAGAGGGTTGCTGCGGTTGTGCTTGCTGTGGCGAAGTCTGCGTAGGAACAGCATGCTCTCGGCTCATGTGGTCAACACTCATGTGATATCTATGCACCACTGTATCTGCGCCACTAGCAACATTGTGCATGCTTGAACTAAGAGAAGAACTCAGGTCACCTCGCATTGCACCATCATAGTGTATCTTTGGTCCCACCTAATGAAAGAAAGTGAAAGCAAATAAGAACACATGATACATGTGATAGAGAGAAGCAAGCAAAGCACTTGTTTAGAAATTACTAACATGATGTTGCACTGGAGATACATGGTGAGGTCCCCTTATAATGCCATGAGTTAATGAATGAGGTGGGGTTGTAGATATATACGTGGGCTCTGCTTTCACATATGTTCGAACATCTGGCCTGATTTCTGGTCTGGTGTCTGGTCTTAAATCTTGTCGTGTCTCTGGCCTCACATCATTCCTTGTTTCCACACGTACATCTGGAGGTATTGAGTCCAAAGTCTCTGGCTCCGACTTGAATATCTAAACAATAAAAGTTGTAAAGAAAATTGAAAATGAAAATGAAATAAATGAACCAAAGCACTGTAAGATATCTAACCTTTTCATAATTTTCAATAAGAATTTCAACCACAACATTACAGAATTTTATATCCATTATAGCAGCAACAGTTTCTTCTTCTGGACGTAACAAAGTTGGTCCGAAACAAACTCCAAGATTACTAACACTCATGAGGTTCTTATCAGACTTGGCTGAGACGCTACAAAAGAGAAAAAAAAGAAGAGATTTTGTTTTGAAAATCAAGGATACGGCAAGAAGAACACGGACTCAGAAAAAAGACAAATACTACTCACTTAGTTAGATGGGAAATGAGAATATCCAGCATATTGAAGTTTGTTTGTGGCAACCGGTGCATAAGTACGTGAACATCATTAACCCTCATTTGTTGGGTTTCTTGCTCTGAAAAATAATGAGAATTTAGAAACAGGAAAAAATAAATTAAGGTCTCAGCAGAACACAAAATACGCACTAGCTGCAGCTATGAACCCATTGTGATATCTGAAAGTAGTCAGAGGCTCAGGTAGATTACGTAGATAAGTCTTCAGTGCACTTGTTATAGTTTTGCTTTCCCATTCAAAGGCATCATCAAGGTTTAATTTCTCCAATTTCCGACGGTCCAATCCAAGAGATAACAATTTTGATACTTTGGAGGTAATTCCCACAACTCTGTACAGACCTTGTTCTTCTAAACCTGTGCAAATTGATATAAATATTAAAAATATGGCAGGAAATTTCCAAGACGCAAACTGAGGGCATAAATTCAACAAATTTACTAACCACGAGTTTCCAATGCTTCAATACATTTGTTCACAAACATAAATCCAACCTCATCCAATGCCCTTTCTTCAACTCTTTCCTTAACTACTTTTCCTGGCTGTGTGTATGTCTGAAAGAGAATAAATGCATGAAGGAAGAGGACAACACACTCTGAGAGTAGACATCAAAAGTGTTTTAAGATGCATCGAGATTCATCCAATGATCAGTTGAATGCAAACACAAGATTCACACATTACACTCTGATGGAAATACAGCATATTAGCACCAAATAGATAGCAGAAATAAAAATCCTTATGCATGACTAAAACCAAATCAAGCAGCAAGTTTCTTAAAACTAGTGAATGGAATGTAACCGAGGGAGGTGGCCATATGGAGGATGGTAAGACAGAAAAAGAGGTGATTTTTAGAAAAAAAAACCATGTGCAGGTTTGATTAGAAAAAGGACCAGTTGTTGAAATAAATAATACGTGTAAACAAAATTATTATGAGGCAAAATTATTATAAGATAGCAAAGATGCAAGTATCATTTTTGGAAACAAAAATTATCTATGATGACGATGGAACACAAATCTTAATCTAATTCTTTTCAGAAGCAATGCACACACATTCATTAACATGCAAAACAGGATTAAAGCACATCCATGAACGTGATACGCAAATAAAGGGAGATGTAAGCAATTTCAATAGCATGCCTCTAGGAAAGCTCCAACTTTGTGTACAAAGTAGAGAGGCCCTCCCCATTGAAATAGGGAACATGCAGATGATGTTCAAAGCACCACCATCATAAACATTGGCCAGTCTCCATTCGGCTACATACCATAGCAAAGTGTGGTTCTTCACTTACAGGCTCCTTCCCATCCATTACATCCATCCAAGACTTGCGATCCTCTTCAGAGAGTGCTTGAAGGGTGTAAACAACACCAGGTCTGAAAATGACAACACAATGAAAATTGAGAGCAAAACACGCACACACACACACATGCAAAAAAAAATAAGGTAAAACACACTTTTAAAAAAACTTTATTAAGTTACACATCTAAGGGAACTTACTTGTCAACAGAAGTAACATCAAAACAAAAACGTTTCTCTATGGAATCAGACATTCTCCGCACACATGATGCCAGTATCATTTTTTCAGACGTGTTCTGTGCATGGTAATTTATTTTAGCAAAAATTCAAAAACTTCAAAATTTAATACACAAATTTTAAGAAGACTACTCACAAATTTCCCTGTCATTTGGTTATAGGGTATCATGATGAATTCCTTTTTATCCCGCTGATAGGTACAGTACTGTTTACTCCAAGTAGTTCCAAAGGCTTCTACAAGAAAAAGGAGAAAAAGTGTAAAGGGCAGTGAAAAAAGGTAACCAAGAAATCCTTAAGGTCCATTAAAACAGTTAAATGGTACTTACTCTTTTCCATCATGAAGAGATATCCCTCCCTTGTGTACTGCTTGTTTGTGATTCCAGCCTCAACTGGTTTCTAAGAAAATTGAAAAAAAATTTGTTAAGTCATTGAGAAACCAAAATACACGAAGAGAAAAAAGGCTGCAGTCTAAGTACAAGAATCTTTCTTACCGTTTGCCTCATTTCTAACATTTTTTTCATAAGTGATTCAGTTTTGTCTCGAGTTTCCTCGAAATTCTCTCTTGTCTGTAACAGAATATGGAAGTTAGACAAAATACATATGGGAAGAGTATACAGTAAAACTCACAGGTGCAGACAAGATAAATAGACTGTGAAAACCATGCAAAACTTCACACTTCATGAAATTTGCTTGAAAAAAATTATCATTTCACATTACGATGTTTGAAGAAACTGATCAAAACAAAATAAAGTTCAAAAACCAAGCCTTACAGTTGAGTTAAAAAGAGGTCAAGAGATAGTAAGTGCAACTTAAGGGAATCAATAGGAAACCCTCAGCGGTCAAACAATTAAAACAAGAAAATATACAAGCTATGAAAGTAAAATGGTAGCGAAAGAAGACCGGATTAGGTTCCAACAGTAAAAGATATAGTATACAGCCAAAAACACATACACATTAGAGATGCATAAAATATAGCAACTGATAAACAAAACTTTTTCAAATGCCAAAGAGAAGCTACAAATTTGAAATCAAACAAAAGACCCAGCACACAGTTACATACGGAATGCCTTAGCTCGATCCTTCACCATTCACTGGCCTCAACTCTACTAGAATTGTACCATTCTCTAAAGATCCTTTTGAGAACTCATTTCCATTTGCCAAATTGGAACTTAAGTAAGGCATAATAAATGAAAATGAGAATTACAAAATGAGTATCATAATTAAAAAGGAAAAAAAAAGAACAGAAAAGCCTGGCAAATTACAGATATGAAGCAAAATCACAAGAGATTGAGAGTATGTACCTTTTGGATGCGAATCTGAAGCTCTCGCATGTATGGTTTAAAATCCTCTGCAACTTCATGGCCTTGGTGGTAAAAGGTGAGCCAACTGAACATAAAACTCAATAGCTGAAAACCAAAGATGAAACAGGTGAACAACTTCGAACTTTAAGGTAAATCCAGACCACAACTCCTGAAGTTGAGCCAAGATTTACTTTACTTCACAAAGGCATATTGTTGCGTCCCTACCGTTTCTACAAATTCAAACTTTTTACGTTCTTGTGCTGCCTGAAGCACAAAAACATACTCAAGACTAGCTTGACAGAAAGATCGCTGCTCCAATTGAAGCGTAGCATCGGCTTCTTGAAGAACATTATCTTGTTTTTTAGTAGAGAGGTTGAGGTACCGCTCCTGGCTTTGACAGAATTTGGCTGTCTGTTTATCAAACTTTTTCTTCCCCTCCTGAAAAATAAGACAAATTAGTCTCTGGAAGAATAAAAGAGGATGTTTCAAAATGCAGGAAGTTGAGTTACCTTAACTCCTCCAATGTGAGTTTTACGGAAGTTGTCAAGGGGTACAATAATTTGATCATATGCTCGTTCCAGCTACAAGAGAAGAACAAAATATTTAAGAAAGTGGACACAATGATGCTCTTGACAGTGCAGTGGTCTTGATGGGTAACGCAGTCATGCACCCTGCTTGCCTTGGTAAAAGGTTACTGATCTACAAGACTATTTTTTGTTTGCTACACTAGAACTAGATCTAGCAAAATGTCTCAACAAATATGATATAATTCTCATTTACCTAATAACACAGCTCAAAAGAGCAATCCTTGCAGCAAGAATAAAATAAGCACACGTTTTCAACAGGTGATTAAATTAAACTACAATGCCATAAATTAAGTGAAAACAAAACAACCATAAATCAGTAGGATGTGCTTGTTACAGAATGCTGGTCAATAGAAGATGGACCAAAGATTTGACTAAAATATGTGAACACTGATAGGAATGTGATAATAGGATTCCAAATGAAACAACAGTGACTCTAATTAACAATATAAATCAAAGGTATCAAAATGGCATACACAAATTGGTCATGTATATAACACAAGAGCACCTGGTCTAAAGTGAACAGGCAAGGAAAACATAAATATACGACAATAAATTGTTACATAACATACCATATTGTCTCGTTCATCTTCAATAGATGCAATAAGTCTCCCCATCTGGGCCAAAGACTTAGATATGACAACCTCATCATCAGTTTGTGAGGTTCCAATGCACTCAAAGCTGAAATTTTCCAAACTTTTAGAGAGTGTGCGCTGGGCACGAGAAAGATCTGAAAATAAAAGAAATGGGCCAAAATGTATACGACAGAAAGGAAAAGTTTGAGAGATGGTTGATGTATGTAGTTCAAAACATTATAAAATGCTGATAACAGCAATGATAACTGAGGCTAAAATCTTGTTCCAAAGCAAAAACTAATAGATAGGGGAGTTGAAAGTAGTGAATATCACTTCAAAACTCTAAAATTACAATTCAAAATCAGACCTCAGCTGAAGTTGGAACCTACAAGGGACTACAGCATTTAATGAGGGGGCCGTATCGTGAAAATCTTTGAATGTAACAATACAAAATGAGGCAGAGGTCATTTTAGAAAAAACAGACTAAAAATTTAAGCTAGAAATAACATGACAGATGGGCCTCCAACCTCAATCTAGACCAACAAATAGAAAGTAAGCCAACTGCAGAGGCACTTAATTTTCAACTTACTCTTAGCAGCACTGAGCAAGTCCTTCACTTCCTTGATGAGCCTCTTGATCTGTTGACTAGTTTTCTCCAACTCCTTTTCGTGTCTATGGAGATTTTCTCTAAAGTGAGGACTATCAGTCAAACAGTCCGTGAACTCCAGAGGCTGAAGTCCCACACCCATTTTGACGGGTATCACTTTAAAACACTACATGAATTAATGACGATCACTCTCAACACCACCAAACATATCATCATTTTCGCGACACCTCGGGATTTTGATTTTGGCACACGAAATCCAAAACGAAATAAACAAGGCACCAGCAGCTGACATATTTTCGTCACAACCACTGCCTTGGAAACTGCGCGCAAAGAGACTGGGCCACAACGCACTGCCTTCTAGAGTGGGAGGGGCCCGGGGAGTGGGGAGGGGGGGGGGCGGTAGCGGCGCGAGGCGCGCGAGGCTAGACCCAGCCCAAGCCCGCCACCACGGACGCGATGCGACGCACCGCGCACCGCGAACCGCACCGCGTGGCAGCGAAGCGACGCCAAGTGCAAAACAGAAAGCAGGACTCGAAGCTAGAAGCCCCGACTCTATAGTCTAGAGGGAGGAAAGGGTCTCGACAGGAAAGCGGCGTGGCTTGGCCAGCTTGGCTGGCGGCTTGGCTGGCGGTTCGGCTGCCGGCTGGACGCACCGAGCGCGTTTACAGCTGTTATTTTTACACGCCTGCAGCTGCAGCAGCTAGCTCATGCCGGCAGCCGTTTACCCAGGACTGTCCAGGCATGCCTCAGTGGGCCAGAAGACCGGTGGAGGCGGTCAAAATCCCAGGCGCGTTTTGAGCTCCACAGTCGCTGAATGGGACTCGAACCGAACGTGTGACCCCACCAATGGATTGCTCTCCGAAGCAGGAATCCATTGGTGGGGTCACACGCTCGGTTTGAGTCCTGTTTAGCGACTCTGGAGCTGAAAACGCGTCTAGAGTTTTGGCCACCGGCGCTGGTCCTCCGGCCCACTGTGCACGAGCACGGAGGGTGGTTCGAACGGAGGCGCGGGAAGGGCAGTCTGGTCCGTCGCCATGGCAACACAACTCGGGCAAAGCCGGGCCAAGCCTGGCAAAGCGGACTAGGGCAGTCAAGTCGGGAATACCTGGCCGCCTGAGGCGCCGTCAGGCCGAGTGGCGCCATTCGCGATTCTGCGAGGGACCAAGGGACTGTTGCATTTTTGGCGGGGACCAAAGTCACACCACTGCAGGACTAGCAGCACCCGTGCAGCACAGCACGGCAGGACGTAAGGGCCAGTAGTTAGACGAGCGTCTTGGAGCGAGAGCGGCTGGAGGAGGAACGTCTTCGTGGCCGGCCTGGGCCTGGGCCTGGGCCTGGGCCCAGAGCGTCTGGTGCAAGAGAGTGCGCAAATCGTAATTTTAGCCCGTGCAGTCAAACCAAACCGACTGCCTCAAGGTCCGAAAACAGTTGGTCGCCCCAAGGCCTCCCTGGGGGCACCTCGGCCCGCCGACAGCGCCCCGCGCAGCCCCGCGCAGCCCCCCAGGGGCGAGTCCCCCTATTTTGGAGCGAGTTTACGCTGGGGTGCTATTTCAGTGGGTGGCCAGATGGGCCACGGCGGGGCGGGCAGCACCGCGGAGCTGCGAAAGTCGGAAAGTCGAGCGGCGATCGAAAAGAGAGAAGAGACGATGCACCGATGGCGAGGATCGCGAGCCAGACAAGGCCAGACGGACGGGGGAAACGAGGCGGCCTCCAACTCGAAGCGCCGTCCGAGGAATCGATTACTTTCATGAAACTTTTCGTCGGAAAGGACACGGGCGCGCGTGCGAGCGCACAGTGGGCCAGAAGACCGGTGGAGACGGCCGAAATGCTATATACGCGTTTTGAGCTCCAGAGTCGCTAAGCAGGACTCGATCCCAGCGTGTGACCCCACCAATGGATTCCTCGTTCGGAGAGCAATCCATTGGTGGGGTCACACGTTCGGTTCGAGTCCCATTTAGCGACTCTGGAGCTCAAAACGCGTCCGGGATTTTGGCCGCCTCCACCGGTCTTCTGGCAAATCCACTGTGGAGCGGAGAGGCGAAAACGCCTGGCGGGGCTGGCGATGCCCAGTGCAGTGCCAGCACGTGCTTATCTCTCTCATGCTCATTGCAAAGCTGGCAAAGCGCGGAGGGAAAAGTGGCGGTCATGGCACGAGTGCGACAGAGCGCGCTGCATGCAGCGGACAAGCCGTGACACGCGACTCTCCGAAAAGAAAAGCAAAAAAATGTGGGGAACGCGGCGTGTTTTTGATCGGTTGATGTTGTCTCTGGCTGATACCGCGGGCCGGAAATCGCCCACACCGTGGGAAGCTGGGCCGCGTTGGCTTTAGGGAGTGCATCCACCCAACGTGTGACCCCACCAATGGATTCCTCGTTCGGAGAGCAATCCATTGGTGGGGTCACACGTTCGGTTCGAGTCCTGTTTAGCGACTCTGGAGCTCAAAACGCGTCCGGGATTTCGACCGCGACAAGTGCAACGTAAGCCAGACCTGCACACCTCCACGCTGAGTCTTCTTGGCAGTGTACGGACGGCCTGGCCTGACACGGCCGTGCGATGTGTTGAAGCTCGCTGCAGTGTGCTGCCCGCTCACGCAACAAGTGTAAACAAGGCGGGCAGGGCGTTTAGCAGACCACACCGCCGTCGCTGTTTGAGCGTGTGTGCGTGCGTCGTGCCGGTCAGTGCACTGGCAGTGGCGTGGCAGTGGCGTGGCAGTGCCACCGCACTTCCCTTTCACGGTTCGAGTTTGTCGCCCTGTCGGTAATGGCAGCCGCGCACAGTGGATTTGCCAGAAGACCGGTGGAGGCGGCCAAAATCCCGGACTGATTTTGACCCCCAGAGCCGCCAAATGGGACTGCCGGCCGGTAGTGACGCATGGATGGCGTCCGGCGGGATCCACGTCGTCACGGTCGGTTCGAGTCCTGTTTAGCGACTCTGGAGCTAAAAACGCGTCTAGAATTTTGGCCGCTTCCACTGGTCTTCAGGCCCGCTGTGCCCCCGTCGCATTCAACGACAGGAGACTCATTCCGAGAGTGGTGGCTATGCTTCCTGAGAGCTTGAAAAAGAGCGTGAGCACCACAAAGTCTTATACGCTTGAAGAAAAGTGCAACGGTGCAGCGCTTTGGCTTCACCTGTGTTTGGAAATGAAGCACTGCCTCGCTCGGTCGCTTCGCCGAGCGCTTCGCAGTGTGGTGATGCACTACACGGAAAGAATACGCGTGTGTGGGTGGAGTTGTGTCAGCAACAAGTAGTTTGGGATGGCTTTGACCTCCAGCACGGTCACGCACGGCACACATGCGCGCACCGCCGTCCAGCAAAAACACGAGAGGAGACGCAACAACAACAACACTGGACGGTGGGAGCCTACGGGAGAACCTGTGGGTGGAGTTGTGTCAGCAACAAGTAGTTTGGGATGGCTTTGACCTCCAGCACGGTCACGCACGGCACACACGCGCGCACCGCCGTCCAGCAACAACACGAGAGGAGACAACAACAACAACGTGGACGGTGGCGGCACGTCGCTGCGCTGCACAGTGGTCCAAAGGGCGGTTGAGGCGGACAAAACTCTAGACGCGTTTTGAGATCCAGAGTCGCTAAATGGGACTCGAACCGAACGTGTGACCCCACCAATGGATTGCTCTCCGAACGAGGAATCCATTGGTAGGGTCACACGTCCGTTTCGAGGCCTGTTTAGCGACTCTGGAGCTCAAAACGCGTCTAGAGTTTGTCCGCCTCCACCGGTCTTCTGGCCCACTGTGCGCTGCGCGGTGCGCGGGTCGCGCGTCGCATCGCGTCGAGACCCGCGACTATCGCACTGCCTCGCGGCCCTCGCGGCCTCGCGCTTTCACCTCCAGTCGACTGATTCCGCCCGGCGTTCCGTCCGTTCCGTCGCTCGGTCTCTGTCGCACTCATGGGGCGTCCCATGCGGGTGCGAGCGAGACCGAGAGACGAAACGACTCCTGGAAATCGGTCTGCACTGCAGCAGGAAGGCGCTCAGTGGGCCAGAGGACCGGCGGTGCAGGCGGTCAAAATCCGAAACGCGTTTCGAGCTCCAGAGTCGCCAAACAGGACCCGAACCGAACGTGTGACCCCACCAATGGATTGCTCTCTGAACGAGGAATCCATTGGTGGGGTCACACGTGCGATTTGAGTCCTGTTTAGCGACTCTGGAGCTCAAACCGCGTCTAGAGTTTTGGTTGCCTCCACCGGTCGGTCTTCTGGCCCACTGCGCGGCCGGACTGCTGATTCGGAGACCTGGAGGCCGCCTGCGAGGTAGGCCACCGAGCCGGCGCGCGACGCACCGGTGTGTTGCGGGCAGGGCGACGGCCTACCTCGCAGGCGCCTGCGGCCTGACTCCGAGAGTCCTTTTCGTCGCTCTGTCTCTCTCGCACTCCGAACGGAACAATGATTGAATGTGTCCCCCGCCGCAGGTCCACGTCGTCGGCGGCCTCCACGACCTGGCCAGGCGGTGATGCCGCCCAGGGTGGCCAGGGTCCAGAGGGAAGTCCCGGTGCCGGCGGAGTAGCCCGGCGTAGCTCCGAGCACCGCGTCGACCGCCACCGCCATGGCCGTGGCGCCCGCACGGTGAGACCGTCGACTGATTCCGGGAGTCGTTTCCGTCACCCTGTCCCTCAGGACGCCCCCTGAGTGCGACAGAGACAGAGCGACGAAAACGGCTCCTCGGAAGGAGCCTGCTGATGCTGCAACCGGAGCGTGTGCTTGGACCAGGCCTGCGCCGGGCGCTGCAGGTCCAGGGCCTTCCGGGCGCGGCCCCGTGGTGCTGGAACCCATCGTGCTGCCCCCGGAGGCGGCGCAGCTGGGCCCCCCCACGCCCCCACCCCCGGGGGCGGCGGCCACGCGCAGGGCAGCGCCACTGCGGCCCCTTCTGCAGCGACCGGTGAGGAAACGGACATCGCTTTTATCCGCCGTCTCGCTCGCACCCACAGGGCGTTGCGAGTGGGTGCGAGAGAGACAGAGCGAACACGCACGGTGATGGCGCGCAGGCCGCTGCGGGTGCCGGCGGGGCGGAGCCAGTGGGGTCGCCCTGGTGGAGTCCGGACAGCGACGACGAGGATGACGGCTGGCTTGACCTGGAGCGTGACCTGGAGCGCACCCTGCCGTCCGTGCTGCAGCACGGGTCGCCCGACTGCCTGCCCATGGACCACACGCTGCCGCACTTGCTGGTGAGTAGCTCAGGAGACCGGCGGAAGCGGGCAAAATCCCGGACGGGTTTTCAGCTCCAGAGTCGCTAAATGGGACTTGATCCGAACGTGTGGCCCCACCAATGGATTGCTCTCCGAACGAGGAACCCATTGGTGGGGTCACACGTTCGGTTCGAGTCCCATGTAGCGACTGTGGCTCAAAACGCGTCTAGAGTTTTGGCCGCGGGCGCCACTGTCGGCCACTGTGGGACGGCTCGCGAGAGGCAGAGCGACGAAAACGCCTCTCGGAATCAGTCTGCAGTGGAGTGTACTTGTTGCGCGGACTGCCCCGCAGCATATTGTTTTGGTGTTGGCGAAGACGAAGACAGATGGTCGCACAGACGAAGACAGATGGTCGCAAAAGGTTGACGAGCAGAGGCGTCGCGCGTCGCCGTCGACGGTGGTAATTTTGCTACTTGCGCGCGTGCGACGACCCCCTCCCCTCCCCCTTTTCCTCCGAGCAGATTATCATCACACAGCCCGCGTGTCGTCCTCGACGGGGTTCTGACGGCCGAGGCGGGGCGGGGCGGGGCGGGGCGTTGAGGCCCGTGTCCGTGCCAGTGTCACGCCCGAGAGCGGGCGTGCACGTGCAAACACGCTCGGCATTGGGGGCCACACCGCGCAGCACCGCGCACAGTGGGCCAGAGGACCGGTGGCGGCGGCCAAAACTCTAGACGCGTTTTGAGCTCCAGAGTCGCTAAACAGGACTCGAACCAAGCGTGTGACCCCACCAATGGATTCCTCGTCCGGAGAGCAATCCATTGGTGGGGTCACACGTTCGGCTCGGATCCCATTTAGCGACTCTGGAGCTCAAAACGCGTCTAGAGTTTTGGCCGCCGCCCACTGTGCCGCGTGGAGCCAGCTGATCCCTCGCCTCTCTCGCACTCAAGGGGCGCGCCGGTAGGGGCGCGAGAGAGACAGAGCGAAGATACAACTCGTCATGGCGCCGGCAGGTGGTGTTCCAAAGCCAAAGCGGAACGAACATAAACAAAATGCCGCCGGACCGTTTCTGTTGTTGGTAGTGGGGCGACCGCGGTGCCAGAGACCAGGGAGCACGCGACGTCGCGACCACGCGCGCTGATGCATCCAGCCCAGTCCTATCGGCCCGTATCAGGCGGACGGGGCGTGACGCTCAGGGCGGGCGAAGCACGCGCCAGCAACGGCACACTCGCTCCGTCTCTCTCGCACTCGCAGGGCGCGCCGTGCTCCGCGGCGGGTGCGAGAGAGACAGAGCGACGCGCCAGGACGCGTGCGTCACCACCGTTCCAATCCGGACGTTGATAATTATTCATCCGGCGGCGACTTTGTTCACTTTGTTGCAGCAGCGCTGCTGTCTGGATTTCCGATGCGCGAGTCACTGCACGGTGGGCCAGAAGACCGGCGGAGGCGGTCAAAGTACCGCACGCGTTTTGAGCTGCAGAGCCGCTGAATGGGACTCGATCCGAGCGTGTGACCCCACCAATGGATTGCTCTCCGAACGAGGAACCCATTGGTGGGGTCACACGTTCGGTTCGGGACCAACTTAGCGACTCTGGAGCTCAAAGCGCGTCTAGAGTTTTGGCCGCCGCCGGTCTTCTGGCCCACGCCGGAAAGCTGACTTGGAGACTTCTTAGCCATTACCGCCTGCGAGGTAGGCCACCGATCCGTCACGCGACGCACCGGCGTGTTGCGGGACAGGGCGGCGGCCTACCTCGCAGGCGGCGTGGCTCTGTCTCCTTCGCACTCATGGAGCGTCTAGCACAGGAGGGAGCAAGACAGAGCGTCGGAAAGGCAGTCACCTCGCCACTGCTAAACAAGGAAGTTGAACGCGGATGGCGATGGCGGCCGGTCGTAAGGGTTCGGTGCTGGGGTCCGAGGCAGTGACCAGAAGGCAGGCCGGGGGCAGGCCGGGGGAAGGCCGGCAGGCGGCCCACTTGCAGGGACAGGTTCCTAGCCTCGCGCGCCTCGCGATGCTCCTCGTCGAGTAGAGTCTCGCTAGCGAAGCTCCGCGGAGTGGCCAATACCGGCGCCTCGCCACTACCGCCCATTTTGTCGCTCTGTCTCTCTCGCAGCCCTACGGCACGCCCCATGAGTGTGAGAGAGACGGCGCGACGAGAGGCTGCAGAGCACAGCCAACCTCCAGCCATGTCGTCAAGTCTCCACGTTTTTCAAACTTTGTGAGGCTTTACGCGGCGGGCGGTTGCTCAGAGGCTCTGACACAGACGCAGCCCTGCCGTCCCGACCAACTGCGCGCGTTATCAGGCCAGCCAACCTCGCCAAGATAAACAGTCAATTGCCGCAGTGTAGGCTGGCGCCGGCGCCGGGCAGCGCAGGGTGGCGGAGTGACCCAGTGAGCAGCTCCACTCATTTCGTGTCGGAATGTTGGCGGGCCGAGCTGACGTGCGTTTCGTCCAATGCGATGATGGTGGCAGCACTGCACAGCCTGAGGACGGGCGCACGCGGCCGAAACTCCAGACGCGTTTTGAGCTCCAGGGTCGCCAAATGGGACCCGAACCGAACGTGGTCCCACCAATGGATTGCTATCCGAACGAGGAATCCATTGGTGGGGTCACACGCTCGGTTTGAGTCCTGTTTAGCGACTCCGGAGCTCAAAACGCGTCTAGAGTTTTTGCCGCCTCGCCGGCCTTCTGGCCCACTGTGCATTGCGCAGTGTAGTGCAGCCAGCGCGGCTCAAAGTAATACTCTGCGGTGCCTTCGGTTTGACGACGGCAGGCGGCCGAGGGCGGTCCTGCACGCTGCGCTTTCGTCGCTCTGTCTCTCTCGCACTCCAGGGGCGTCCCGTTGGGGCGCGAGAGAGACAGGGCGACGGCCTGGCGGACAACCTGCAGCCCGGCGCCAGCCGCCGGACTGCAGCCGCTCCAGCCGCTCCGGCGCGAAACCGGAAGTGCTGGAAAAGCGAGCGACTAGACGCTCAGTTTGGTGAATCCGGCGGAGACCGGCAAAGCAGAAAGTTGCCGTGCGGAGAAACTGGAGGCTGGTCCCGCGCGCGCGATTGCCACCAGAAAAAAAAACAGCAACAACAACAACACCACTTGGAGGAAAGGAGGGGTCTGCAGCCGCGCGGAGTGCACGGAGGAGTCACCACACATAAAGTCATCATACTGTTATCCAATGCGAGAGCCCATCATTATCCACCGCACGGAATGCCTGGCGCGCCACGGCGCCTGTAGCGGCAGACAGACAGACAGACAGGCAGACAGACAGACAGACAGACAGACAGAAAGACAGACAGGCAGACAGAGAGACAGAGAGACAGACAGACAGACAGACAGACAGACAGACAGACAGACAGACAGACAGACAGACAGACAGACAGACAGACAGACAGAAAGACATGAAATTGTACAAACGTTTGACGTGGCCGCTATTCGTTTTCCTGACTTATTCATCCCCGTCTCCTCTTTTATGCTAATGACCCTGGTTACCCTGTGGCTACACGGCGCCTTTCTCTCTCTCTCTCTCTCTCTCTCTCTCTCCTCTGCTCCGACGGAGCAGGTGGACCACATCCACATCAGCATCGACATCCAAGTATCGGGCAGGGCACGGCAGCAGGCTCATTCCGAGAGAGAGAGAGAGAGAGAGAGAGGAGAGAGAGAGAGAGAGAGAGAGAGAGAGAGAGAGAGAGAGAGAGAGAGAGAGGGCACGGCAGGGCGGTTCGCTGAAATCCGATATGGTAATGTATTCAACTATCCTGCCTGCCGCCGAGGGCCTGCCAAGATCACGCACCACGGCCTATCCTCGGTCGCCGCCGTCCCCGCTCACAAACGCCACATTATTTTATCAGTGATTTGAAAAGATTTTTACGGTGCGTATTTTAGTGTGCGTTCGAGAGGTGCTGTCGCAATCTCCGCTCATAGTTTCGTGGAAACGATTTTTTTTGGGCCCCAAAAAAGGGGTCGATGTCTCGACGCCATGGCGTTCACTTGACTGTACACGCCCCGCGGCCCGCGGCCCGCCCTGCAGACTCATTCCGGGAGTCGCCTTCATCGCGCTGTCTCCCTCGCACCCGTGCGGGACGCCCCGTGAGTGCGAGAGAGACAGAGAACACCTCTCGGAATGAGTCTGCAGGGCCCAGGCCCAGGCCCACCCACTCGCGGGGCGCGGCGGCGCGTCAAGGCGAGGCGACGAACTCGCGCCGCCTAGAATGTGTCATGCGGACGGAAGGCGCGCACAGTGGATTTGCCAGAAGACCGGTGGAGGCGGACAAAACTCCAGACGCGTTTTGAGCTCCGGAGCCTCCATCGGTCTTCCGGCCCACTGTTGGCCGACTGGTACTATCCTTGCGCGGCCGCAGCGTTGTAGTGTAGTGGTCACAAACCGACGGGGACAACGACAACGACGGAACAACGACTCTCCGGGATCAGTATGCTGCTTTTGCAGTGCGTTTACGCGACAGGAAAAAGCAAAAAAGCAGCTGCACCACCACTCGATCAGTGAGATGACGTTCCAATCGGGGGGGGGGGGGGGGAACAACCTTCCTTGTGCGATTCGCCCCGCCCGATCCGCTCCGCTCCACTATTGTAGTGGAAATAGGGTACGCTACAACGGCCAGCCAGGAGACCGATTCCGAGAGTCGCTTTACGTCGCTCTGTCTCTCTAGCACCTATGCGGGAGGACCCATGTGCACGAGAGAGACAAAGCGACGAAAACGACTCTCGGAATCAGCCCGCTGGGCCCTGGCACTCTGGCAGGCACCACGGCGGCTACGGGTACCTCCGCTGCTCGTGGGTGGGGCCAGGGCCGGCCAGGGCCCAGCAAGCTGACGACTCCAAACAGTACCGCCGTCTCTCACGGGCCGTTCCGTGTGGGTGCGAGAGAGACAGAGAGACCTTGCAGTTCAGGGGAGTTGGCGTACACGTACAGTGGGCCAGAAGACCGGTGAGCCGCTAAATAGGACTCGAACTCAACGTGTGACCCCACCAATGGGTCCTCGTTCGGAGAGCAATCCATTGGTGGGGTCACACGTTCGGCTCGAGTCCCATTGAGCGACTCTGGAGCTCCAACCGCGTCTAGAGTTTTGGCCGCCTCCACCGGTCTTCTGGCCCACTGTGGGGCGGCATGCCCTTACAGTGTGTGAGCAGGAAAGGGCCAACGAGGCGCAAAGACAGCGCTCTTGTTGCGCGAGGTGAAAGGGCGGCCCACACAGAATCAGAATGGCACTGCTGCAGGTCTCGCTGCCAGTCGACTCAGTGGGAACGGAATATGCATTTCGCCGAGAAAACGCAACGCCAGGGCCGAGAGAACAATCCGCGGAACCGCGAGCGCGTTGGGTTGCCTAACACGCCCGGCGGCGTGGCGAGGCTGCACGAGGGTTTGCCTACCCACGCGGCGTTCTGTCGCTCGGCACACGGTGGGTTGCCTGCCCGCGCGGCGCACAGTGGACCAGAAGGCCGGTGGAGGCGGTGCAAGTACCGCACGCGTTTTGAGCTCCAGAGACGATGAATGGGACTCGAATCGAACGTGTGACCCCACCAATGGATTGCTCTCCGAACGAGGAATCCGTTGGTGGGGTCACACGTTGGGTTAGGTCCCTGCTTTGCGACTCTGGAGCTCAAAACGCGTCTAGAGTTTTGGTTTGACAGTGCCGTGGTGCGTGTTGCAGAGGCAGGTGTCCGGCACCGAGGACCTCGCCTCGCTGCGCTCCATCAAGCTCCGCGTCATCGGCCGCGAGATGAGTCTGCAGCGGCTGTGCGTGTACGTGCCCAACCTGACCGAGCTCAACCTGGACGGCAGCAGCATCGGCTCCCTCAGGTACGCGTGTGGGGCTCCAGAGTCGCGAAACAGGACTCGAACCGAGCGTGTGACCCCACCAATGGATTCCTCGTTAGGAGAGCAATCCATTGGTGGGGTCACAGTTCGGTTTGAGTCCCAATTCGCGACTCTGGAGCTCAAAGCGCGTCCGGGATTTGGACCGCCTCCACCGGTCTTCTGGCCCACTGTCCCGATGGCTCTGCCTGCAGGGAGCTGGGCTGCGGGCTGTCGGGGCTGCGCGTGCTGCGGGTGACGCGGTGCTGCCTCGACTCCCTGGACGGCACCTTCGGTCTGTCGTCGCTGGCCGAGCTCTACGCCGCGTACAACCGCGTGCAGGACGTCGGCTACCTCGCCTGCCTCTCCAACATCGAGCACATCGACCTGCGCGGGTGAGTGTGTGCATCCTCATCGGACTCGAACCGAACGTGTGACCCCACCATTGGATTGCTCTCCGAACGAGGAATCCATTGGTGGGGTCACACGTTCGCTTCGAGTCCCATTCAGCGACTCTCGAGCTCGAAACGCGTCTAGAGTTTTGGCCGCCTCCACCGGTCTTCTGACCCACCGTGGACCGCCACTGAGGTTCACTCGCGTTCTCCGACTTGTCCCGCTTGCAGCAACCGCGTGCACGACATCCGGTACGCGGGCTTCCTCACGGTGTGCCCGTTCCTGCGCGAGCTGGTGCTGGCCGAGAACCCCTGCGCGGCCAAGCCCGGCTACAGGGCGGCCATCAGGGAGATGCTGCCCGCGCTGCCCACCCTGGACGGCGTCGCCCTCTGCAACTACCAGCAGGACGGTGAGGGCTCGTCGCTCTGTCTCGTCGCGCCTGCACGGGACGCACAGGGGGCCAGAAGACCGGCGGAGGCGGCCAAACTTCTGGAAGCGTTTCGAGAACCAGAGTCGCTAAATGGGGCTCGAACCGAAAGTGTGACCTCCCGGATTGATCTCCGAGCGAGGAATCCATTGGTGGTGTCACACGCTCGGTTCCAGTCCCGTTTAGCGACTCTGGAGCTCAAAGGGGCGTCTAGAGTTTTGGCCCCTTCACTGGTCTTCTGGCCCACTGCTCGAGAGGGTACTTGTTCTGAATCTGCAATCTTCTGAGCAGACGACACGGACTCAACGTCCACCGCGTCGCTGTCCTTGGGCGACTCCACGCCGGCAGGCGGCCAGGCGGCCGCCCAGGACGGGGTGGCCGATGATGAGCACGAGGTGCAGGGCGCGGAGGAGGAGGAGGAGGACGCCGTGGAGCCCAAGGACAGCGGGCCCAGCGGGGCGGCGTCCGAGGCCGAGGACTCGACGAGCAGCGCGAGCAGCAGGGGCGGAGCGCGGCCGGCCGAAGTCACCGCCGCCACACTGTGGGCGGGGGTGCTGCGTTCGTCGGCCAGGGCGGCCAGCGCGGCCGGAGAGGTCAGTGGCGCACAGTGGGCCAGTGGGTGTTGGCGGTCAAAATCTCGGACGCGTTATGAGCTCCAGAGTCGCATAAACGGGACTCGAATCGAGGTTACCCCACCAATGGATCGCTCTCCGAACGAGGAATCGGTTGGTGGCGTCACACGTTCGGTTCTGCAGAGCATTACCTTCACTGATCGAGTTGTCCAGGTCGGCGCCGGCCCGCGCACCGGGCCGCTGCTGGTGCCCCGGCCCGCCACGGCCTCGTGCGCCACGCCTCGCCGCCCGCACCGCCCCCCGGCCGCCCCCTCGCGCCCGTCCACCGCCGTGCCGCGCGCGGAGCCGGCGGAGCCGCCCCCGCCCCCGCACCAGGACCACGGCGACGGCCACAGCCTCGGCCACGGCGACGCGGACGCGCCCAGCCCGCTGACTTCGGGCGGCGTCGTCTGCGGGAACCTGTCCCTCGCGCTGCGGAGGGTCAAGGCGAGGAGGAGGGAGGCGTGGGGACAGCCTGGCGGCCAGGACCGCCAGGACGGCGGCGACCTGCACCCGCAGCGCGCCAGGAGGGGCAGCAGCAGCAGCAGTGGCAGCTGCAGCAGTCTGTCGTCGTCGTCCTGGCCCGCCAGCGACGCCGTCACCCCCGTGGACGCCTTCACCGAGGCCACGGACGTGAGTAAGGAGTGCGCCTAGCCGCCAGGCTTGCCTTGCCGCACGGGGAAGACCCAAGTCCCGGACCGCGTCCCGGACGGTAGCCTCATTCAGAGAATCGTTTTCGTCGCTGTCTCTATCGCTCCTTTTCGGAACGCCTCATGAGTACAAGAGAGACAGCGATGAAAACGAGTCTCGGAATCGGTGTGCAGTGCAGCGGCAAATGAAGTTGGGTCGCCTCGCTTGCAGGACAGCCCCACGCCGCCTCCAGAGAGGGCAGGCACCAGGCAGCCAGACAGCGACACTCTACTGGCGGCCAGTCGCAAGTGGAGAAACGCTTACCACCAGTACCGCACCGCGAACCAGTGAGTCGCAATCATTTCACTTCCCGTTGTACTTTGGAACAGTTTGTAATTGGTGCTTCTGTGCGCACTCCAGGTTGAAGTGGCAAGATTGCGAAGGAAGTGATCAAGAAGGTTAAAGACTAGAGTCTGCTGGCTACACCATTGCCAGCAAGTTATCTAGCTCATTGTGAATAGAGTTTTAACTGCTGTGGACAAGGCCTCAGGGCTATGAGTGCAATCGCTCTCTCTCTCTATCTTTGATTAGTTTTAATTGTAGGGTATGAGGTGAAGAAAAAGAATAAAGATAATTAAAGCTGCCACAAAAATTTTATTAGCATGCTGACTGAATCAAGTTTGCATTAAAGCTCACAATCCACAATCCAAGTGTCTTCATTTATAGAAGGGATGATTTGTCCATCCAGAGATAGTATGCTCAAACCATAGAATATGGTGCAATATTAGGTCAAGGGTTCAGTTACTAAGAAAATGACGTCAAGTAATGAATAATTTACTTCACTGTACTTCAATCGATCCAAAGCCTTTCTCATGAACAACAAAAGCCTCTCATATCATGGCAATACACATCTAAAAATTTCTGTCAAAAGAAATGCATAACTGAACCCTTTTACAAATGCATTGAATACAGTTGTAACAGGAATTGTGTGAATGTCGCAACAGGAACAGCACAGCTTAAATGACGTTTACACAAAATTCAGTGTAGATAAATAATTGAGTGACCGAAGTAGAAAGTGCAGCAAGATAAACTGATACAGCTTAGCTACGATCATTTGAAACTTGCTTCGTAAGAAATACTGCAGTTCAACCAAGGAACTAGAGATGGAGGACAAAATGTGCAAATGCAAGGAAAAGGACAAATCCAGTGACAGTGGACTAAAATGAGTCAACAAAAAAAAGAAAACATTCAAAACAAAATCAGCTAACAACATTGCACAAAACTTGCAATGAGTGGACAAAAAAAAAAAACACGTCAACAACTATTAAATAAATAAATAGTTTAAGTGTAGTACAAAATATGAAATGTTATTCTTAACATATCATCATAAAATGGACATGCAACAAGATATGTCCATACACACAAATAGAAAGAAAGTATTTAATTTGGCTTTAAAGATTAGCCTAATTTTTTAGATCTTCGGGAAACATAAATCAAACCCATTATCATCATCTGTGGATACCAACTTTATGAAAAGTATGAACGGCTCCAGAAAATTGGTTAGGAGAACTAAGAACATACCATGCATACAGTTGGTATCTATACAGGAATCTTCTCATTTATTTCTTTTCTTACAAAAGGAAATAAGACACCTTAGGGGATTGAGGAAACAAGTCTCTTGTCATAAGAGATTCTATCTTAAGTAGGATCATGATGAACTTTATGAATATTATATTTAATAAATTATTCACAGGAATGTCTACAGGAAAATTGAAACAAAAAATTCAATAAATAAAGTCTATACAAACATTGTACTCAAATTGAAAGCAGTGAGATGAACACAAAAAACATAATAAAACTGTCCTTCAAAACACATTGAGCAAACAAAACTGAGATTAACAAAAGGAATGTCAATACAATGCGACGCAATCTCAGTACCCTTTGGTGTTGAAGCTTTGAGGCTGTTTTCTAAAAATAAGTAACCGGCATCTTCATGTTGGAGGAAAGATTTTCAGTTTGTCGTGATCTCATGACAATATCCAATTTAAGATACGGTCCAGCAGGTATTGCACCAAGTGTGAGACTGCCCCAACTACAGCAGTGCTGCAGCATGGCTACAGATGCTAGGATGGTGGGATGGGGATGACAGGTTCCAGCACAAAGTCCATGGCTGGCATTCCACCATGCTTCAATATTATCTTAAGCAAAATCAAGATAAATTTCAACTTCTCTTTTTAAATGAAAGAATTTAAAGAAAAATCTTTATGATTTCATGCATGACTAAAATAGTCCTGTAACAGAACTTTCACAACAAAGAACAAACAACTTTCATTAAAAATACTTAGGTCACAACCACTCATCACCACACTAGAACCACACAAGACAAAGAACACTTAAATTAGTGTGCATTAAATAAATAACTATTTGGTTTCTTCAGTGAAGAGTATTGACTATCATATGCTTGTTTGCTCTCTAGCTGGTACCGGGCCAAGTCCAAAGTGAGAGAGAATTATACAGCAGATCAATACAAATGAGTTTCCAGTCATTTCATCACTAAGTGATCCTTTCAACTGCAAAGCCAAGTGGAACAAGCATGTTAAAGATACTGATAAGTCTTGCAGCAATGAACACGATGATATTCAATGTAAAATACAATAATATCGAAATTGAACTGTTCACTAACCAGAGAGTATAACATAAGCAGTGTTGAGCAACAAGTGCAAGTTAAGTACATTAGAAAATGTATCTTCACATTGCGTGGTTTTGCATATGACCTATCTACGTATTCCAACCTTACTAAACATTCTGTGAGCAATCAGTTCGTGAAAACTAGCTACATTCTATCGTATCAGACAGGTTAACTTAACATCAGGCTATAAATGGACCTTACCGATGGACGGAATCAGTTACAAAGGCACAGATACAGACTGCAATCAATTACTAGGCACAAAAGTAATACTTGAGCAACACAAGCAGATCAAAAACAAACATTAGAAGTATCTCTGACTAAATCTAAAACCAGATCAGTTCAAAAATAGTAGTCTACCAATAAAAATACAAATGACTGCGCATGTTGATGCTTAACATGAATGTTCAAAAATATAAGTTTGCATAACATTCAACGATCACGTGCAGTGAAAATTTTCTTTTCATTACTTTGGAATGCATGTATAAAAGAATTCAAAACGATTTTACAAAGATTATGAGACTCAAAATCATTACAAAGGACGGAATGTATTGGCCCAGAAATGTTTTGTTACATTCTGAAAAGGGTTTATGAAAACATAAATTTTTTTATGACCCCTAACTTTAATAGGGGCAGACTATTCTTTGACCAGAGGGCCAAGCAACATAAGATCAAGTATTCCATTTAGACTTTCACTTCAAGTATATTTTCATTAGGTATTCTATACCTGATTTACCTAAAGGAAATAACAATAAATATCTGTACACATAAGGTGCAGAAATTTTTAAAAACTAGAAACTTCCTCAAGACCACAACATAAATCTTTCATGCACTTTGTTATTTGACTAGAATTCGATAAATTAGGCACAGAAAAGCAACATAAATAAATCCAAGCTGCAACAAAGTTCAGAACTAAATTCTACAAAGAAACACCATTTTAGCAATTGAGCTATACTTTCAGAATACATAAGCTGTATCTGCTTTAGTTCTTCTTGGTATTCCGATCTTGGCCACACCTCAAAAGTCAACTGAAGTGCCAAACTAAAGTGACGGGGAAACAGTGCATGAAACGTGCATACTTAGGTGAATATACTCATTGATGAGATTTACTGAGCAGGTGAGCATTAAAGTCATAAACTGAGGAACACTGCTCACCGCAAATATTACATTTCCACGGATTTGTATCCGAATGGCAACCCTTATGCATGAAATACAAAGTCTGGTCAGGAAAGGCAATACCACAGAAGTTACACTGAAGCTTCGGATGGAGCTGCCATGCTGGCGTGTTATTAGCTGAACTGGGATCTGGAGGCGGCCCACTCAGAGCTGGACGATTTACAGGTAGCAGTTCGGGTCGTGGTCTGGATGAAATAAGTCGTGGTCGTTTCCCATCATCTCTCAGAAGGCTCTTGAGCGGAGATACCTGATTTGACCAAGAGAATTTGTTAGATATTTTTATTACAGCCCTTTGAATAATATAATGGTATAGCAAAAAATGAAAAGATAGGGGCTGTACCTTAATTAGCCTTGTTGAATTATTGATTCCTGCTGAATCTTTGCAGGTAGTGAGATTGACTGCTCCATTAGTACCTCGCTTATCGTCATCTCCTTCCTCGCCACTGCCACTGCCACTGCCACAACTGGCAGCACCAATAGAAGCATCACTGAAATTTTCTTGTTTAACTGGGAGAAGTAAGAGCGATACATCTTGTGGAGGAGAGCCGTTGGTGATGCTGTTGCTTAGACCAAGGTCAGGCGAATCCCTCCGTACCATGGGCAGGGAGCTTGTGTTGACTGCAGACAAACTGGCTGAGTCAGCAGACTGAGGTGAGCTTGGGTCTCCACTGACATCCCCACTCCCATTGGCATGCTCATTCTGAAACAGAAAAAAAAACAAACCAAAGTAACAAAGGGTTAGTAAGTTTAATGATGAGATGTGATGATGAAATAAACACCAAGTTAACACATAGTGTATTTTACCTGGCCCGGAGAGTAGGCACCGGGCGGGTCGGCCATCGAAATTTCAACATGAGGAGTCAGAAAGTGCATTGGAGGTGTGCTCTCTCCAGACTCGATAGGACTCGCGACCAAAGCACCAGCTATGGCACTGCCCAGAGTTGCTCCTAAGCCGCCATTCACCCCAGGATTGCCACTTGTTTCAATACCCAAAGATGGTCCTGGGTTATCAAGATCAATTCCATGCCTAAAACATCAGAATCAGTCATTGAAAAAGGAAGAAATAGATCACAATAGAAAAGAAATAGGAAGCTGGTCCTTCAGACCACTAAATCTACTGACAAACAAAAGAAAAGTACATACCTATTAAAAAAATGAACTCTCAAACTCTTCATGGATGGTGCTTGGAAAGAACATAATGGACAAGATTTGACCATATCGTGCTGACCAACATGCTCATTTTGAAAGTGAGCTCTCATGGCAATTTGTCTCTGGAAACCACGGTGGCAGATTGGGCAATGATAAGGTAATGTTTTAGTGTGTGTAGTAAAATGTTCTGCCAAATGGTCTTTCCGAAAAAACCTGAAAATTCGAACAATGCATTTCACAATTACTTTTGATTGAGAACAATTTAAAAAAAGAAACAACGGATTATCAATTTGAAAAGAAGCAACTAAGATCTACACTGAAACAATACCTTTTCTGACAAACTCGGCACTCATAAGGTTTTACTCCAGTATGCCTCATCTTGTGTCTCCTCATGTTGGCTCCATTAGAAAATTTCATGTTACATACATCACACTCAAACAATTTGCGATTATGGCGGTCGGGTGAAGTATCACCACCTTCGACAACTTGGCCTGGCAAGATAGAAAGGAGGAAATGAGAATCACCAATGCCACCAATACAACAAATCAAGAAGCATTTCGAGTACAGCCACATACCTTCACCATTGCACTCAGATAAATGTGCAATGAATGTTATCCTATTGGGGGTATCAAAATCACACCTCGCACAGCGTAGTAGTCCTGATTCGCTGCAGTCATCATCAACCACATCTTCCCCTCCAGAGTGTCGACCATCAGACTCCACACAGGCATCAATTGTCAACCCCAGGCCGTGGCCAGGACCCGGCCCGGGGGCTCCACCACCACGCATCTCCACTCCAGTCATATTCACCTGAACAATAACAAACCCACACTGCAGTTTACTGAAGCACTTGTCAGTTCAAAAAGCTGTTCAATACAAACTGAACAAGAAATAACACACAAGCACAAAAACACAGAAATAAGTGAAGTGGGAACTAACAGATGCAAAGGTAGGCAAAAAAGGCCACAAGGGATTCATGTTGGCCAATCCAATCAGTCAGCACAGGCAGAAAACACAGTGGCTCCCAATGCAACAATCTTCCTCAAACACGGAACTTGAACTTTGATACTGGTCAGGGGGAGCAAGGGAAAACCCTGCACCGCCTCCACACCTCAGCCTCAGCAGACAACTGGCAGGCCCAGCCGGTCCAGCCCAGGCCTCCGGGTACCCCGGTACAGTCCCAACACAAACTTGACGGCCGGCACGTCCCGCGGCCAGCACTGACACACTGACACTTTGAGACGTCGGCAGCCTAATCGCGAAGCTGTGTCTTCTGGTTCTGGCTAAGGACGTCGTCCTTGTCCCCCCTCCCACCCCGCTGGTTCCTCCCCCACCCCTCCCGCGCCGGACCAGCCGGACCGTCCCACCGCTCACGCCAACGCCACAGCCACCCTGTGGCCTGCTGCCTGACCACCACATGGTGCCCTGACCCTTCCACCCTCCGCCGGCCAGCCGGCCAGCCCGGCCCGGCAGCCAGCGTGCCCCCTGCCCTGTCCTGACCTGTCCTGTCTTGCCAATCCTATGACCTGTTTCAACACGCCCGGGAGAAGGTGCCTTGCCCTCTACCCTCCTCTCCCCTGGCTGCCCCCGGGCATACCTGGAGTACCAGGAGCTGGAGATAAGCTGCACTTACACAGCAAACAATAAGGTGTCTTTCACACTGGCCAATGACAGGCTCTACCTTTTTTAGCAACATTTGGGAATGCCTGCAGGGCCAATTTTTGAGCGGGGTGCATTGCAGGCCCCCTGGTCTGTGGAAATATTTACTTCATTTTGCCAACTGGCAGAAAACTTGTGAAACGAAAAGAATCTCAGGGTAAGGTTTTGGGCTAGCGCATGTGAAACACTGCGACTATCGTTTGAGCCATAGAGATCAAAACCCAAAGCAGGAAACAGGTTAAAAGAGGCTGAATATGTCAAGTGCAAGGTGCGAATGGTCACAACAGCAATGTAAAATCCAAACTACCAAAGCACGAACGACTACTGCATGACAGTTCTGAAATACATCTCGCCTTTGATCAAAGCGGTCTCTGACTGTGCAGTCTACTTAGAATACGTGACATGTTTGTGTCGAAGCCATGCAGGATAGTTCACATGAGTGCATATACTACCACAGGGCTACAACAGAAAAAAAACAACTCAACAACCAATGTTGAGGAACATACAACCCAAAAACTAAAAGGATGGCAACGTCAACCTACATAACAACTAACTGACACACAGGCAACATCAAACATGAGCGCAAGTTTTGAAATGTTTACAGCATCAACCAACAAGTACACGCTGTACTCAGCAACCGCAAAAGTATTTGAACACTTGCATTAACAAGAAAAGACAGCAAAACTTACAATACTATCAAAATGCCTCATATTGTAACCTGGGTCAACAACCACAACACGCTGGCAGGGCAGCACGGTTTACACGTTCGTCGAGCATATCACAGTGGAAACCACAAAAAAATCAATATTTGCAGGACTAGGAAGAAATGCCTGTGCGCTCCGGGCCCTGCCGCCAAGTGCGGCATATGTAGGTTATCCAGCGTGATCAAAAACCGGACTTTCGACTTGCGTCCCAGTTTACCGTTAACTTTCCAAAACCCGACTTGCTATTTACGTAATTTTGTGAACGCTTGGCAGACGACAGGTCCCTCCTCCCTCTTCAAAAATTGTGATTTCCCTACAAGCAAATACTCACATTTTGCAGAGATGACAACGATTCTCCAGCCTGGCATTTGTCAAAACAATATCGAATTTCCAGGTCTGAGCCATTGGCTTACGTATCACTTTTCAGCGTGCATTGACCTACCGGAAATGCCAAGCTTCGCATTTTTGCTGTCAGCAAAACCAGACGACACACTCTAACGCTTTATTCACATTGAAGTTTGTCCGGTCTCTGTGTATGAGAAATTGTGTTACGGGCTAAACGTTATTTTCAGTTGAACTGCAATCAGTCATCTTTCACTGGACACCCCCTCCACCTCTCAACCACGGTGGCCATATTGATCTTTTAAATATGAAGAGAAAGGTGTGGTTATTTTCTTTTTAAGAATTATGTACAAACATAGCTGATTTGAGGTGAAAATTGTAGTAGTTATAGTTATGCTGTCGGGGGCAGATCACTCAACGCGATAACATCATCCAGTGGAGGCTGAATGTACCAGAAGGTTAGTAATGTCTTACATCGGTAGGCTGCAGACAGCGCTCAGCGCTCGGTGTCACCCTACACCAGCAATATTGTTCATGCAGGACCGCATTTTTACCAAATTATGCCTATTCTCCCCCAGAATAAAGTATTTAGTGGTCTTTCCCCTGGTCTGCTCTACTTGGAAATTTGAATTTCTGCACCATCATTGTTGTTGATCTGGTACGACGTCGCCACGGTTACATCTTGCTCCAATTTAATTAAATTTCGTGTTTTTGCGCATTTTTAAACTCGTAAGTTCTTTTGCCTTGCGACGTGGTCTATTGGAGCTTTTTCATTCAAACGCTGGCCTTCTTGCGGCCACTGCAGCCCTCCAATTAAGGTCATTGTAACCCACACTGTTCTACTTGACATTTGCTTTCCTGAGGCTCTGATTAATATCTTGTGTTACCTTTCAACATAAAACAGCAGATTATATATTGCTGTTTTTCCGTTGTTTTCGAAGCTTTTGAAGAAACCCTTTCACATTACCTCTCTTGCGTTCATTGATCACACCTGGTCCTGTCCAACTCTCCATCCATTTCATGAATTAAAATTTCCATTTTATATTTTTGCATGTGTTAATATAAATTTCAAAACATGAAGTGCTTTTCGTATGTTTTAAAGCTCTGCATCCAGCACTCTAAAGTACACTGTTCTGTTTCAGAAGTGTTGCTCGATGTAGAATGAGCAGTTGGACTGAAAGAATGCATCGGCGGGCTGCTACATTCAGCAACGTGGTGACATCTTGTGGACACCCCACTGTTGCCTTCCCTCATAGGCTGGAGAAGTATGTATCCTGTGAAATGAATTTGTTTGGATTTTTCCTTGGTGGTTTACTTCAACGTTCATGTCTACATTTGTTTTAGGGTGAAGTTTGGTGTGCACCTGGATGAAGTGTGTAAGAATGACATTCCAGCCCCATTACTTGTACTGATACTGAAGCTCAACAAGGAGGCCCCTTTCAAGAAGGATGTTTTCCGAGCTCCTGGTTACCAGGTTTGTTGTCGATCTGTAGATTTATTTTCTGTAAATTGTTTGTTAACCCATTTTTATAGCTGTTGGTTTCTATTGTCTGTAATTAATGATGTTTGATTGTTTGTGTTTTCTCTCCTAGGGCTCCATGAAGAAACTGTCCCACTTCCTTCAAGCAGGCCGCCTAGTAAACATAGACAACTTTTCTGTGTATACCATTGCGTCCGTCCTAAAAAAGTTTCTACGTAAAATTCCTGGTGGTATATTTGGCCGCATCAATGAGCAACGCCTATTTCACATAATAACCTTGGAAAGTATGGAGGAGCAACGCAATGAAATTCATAGGTTTGTGAAGTTCTTAATGATAATGTACTGTAGTGCTTATGAAGTTTGACTTTACTTCATGGTATCATATTTGATTGTTTTTATTTGCCTCAGGCTTATTACATCAATGCCTGTGCATACTCAACGATTACTTGTTCTTCTTTTTGGAACATTTCGAGTTATTGCTACTAATGCAGATCGTGCAGGGACTGGAATGACATCTGAAGCGTTGGGTGTGTCTGTTGCTCCCAGTTTCTTCCAAAGTTGCGTCAGTGATGGCAAAACTGCCAAAATGGAAGATGTCTTAAGGTTCAAGGTATGTATTCATGTCTAATTTCTTTTTAAGATACGTGGTAATATTGTCATCTACAACTATGAGTTTAGAAAGAGAGTAAATGTTTGCAGGTAAATATTCATTGAATTTACTGCATTTTGTGATTTATAGCAGTGAGCTGTAACTTGACAACATTTTAGATTGTAGGTGTATCTGTCTTGCAAATAGTGAAAATTTCTCAGGCCAACCTAAGTTGGACGTGTAATTTCAATTGCATGTTTGATGCTAGTAACTCCTGTAACTCAGCATACATGGGATAGAGTCCCTTCAAAACTGAAATTTTGTCAGGGTACAGCTCTTTGGTTTGAAGCCTGCTGGTAACGTTACATACTGGTAGTCTATTTTCAAATGGTGTTGGAACAATCTTTGCTACATTTAAATCTTGTAGATATGCTTTTATTTTTCTGATTCAGTATTACTGTACTATTATTATTTACACAAGTTTCTATTTACTGTTTTTTTTTTAATTGTACATTGTAATTGCACTATTGGTTTGGACAAATTGAGGTGGAATATTTTGCAGTTTGTAGTCTTTCAAAATTGGTTCTTGATGTATTTTTAAAATTGAATTTTGAAGTGAGTCAGGGATTGTGGACCCCATTGTGGATCCACTTATTGAATCAACTGCTCTGGTACCTCATGTTTGAATGCATACACTTTGAACCACTAATGTAGGTGTGAGGTAAAATACAAATAAGTTCATGGACTTTTTCTATTCTTTTTGCTATCCGACTTGTCAGGCTGAAGTTAATGTAAGTATGTAGGTTGTTGAAGTTTTTATCTCCTTACCTCTTCCACTTCAGACCTGTAAACTGCCTCTAAACTTAAATCATTATTATTATTAATGACAGATTTCACTTGAACTTTCCATTTCTTTTCTACCTTCTTCTGAATTTCAAATCAGAACAATTCCAAATATTTGCCCTCAGGCTACTTGCTTTAGTCAGTGTAAATACAGTATGCATGCGTTTCTACCTTCTTCTGTACTCGCCTGTTTAAGGCACTTAGACATTCAGAAAATTAGTCTTTTGAGAGATGAGTTCTTCCGTTTTGTTTATTCTTTTAGTCGGTTTTAACGGAGGCCTACGTCTGTGGGTCCTCATCTTCCCACCCTACCCCATATTTTACTAGACTGAATTTTAGATTTTAGTATTCAGAAACCTGTAAATATGTTTTTTTATATATGAGTTATTTTTATCTTGTATTATGAAACACTGTCACATGGGTGATTCTTCATTTCCGTCCAGAACTCGACTTATTAGATAAAGTGGTTTATATTTTTGTGCATTTATGAAGTGTTTCTTAACCTGTTTCTCCCATCTTGGTGCCATCAAAAGGAAAACGACTATGGTTTATATCTGGCTTGTATTATCATTGATTTTCTGCTCTTCAGGTGGCTACACGAATTATGAAATTTCTCATCGACAATTTTGGTGCAAGTAATTTGTTTGGGCGTGAAAACTATGAATTTTATGCTCGCATTACTGGGCGCATTCTCAAAGTTGAGGATGACTGGATTTTCAGTTTTAGATATCCCCCTGACTCTTTTGTTTCTCGTAAGTAGTATTCATGAAATGAAACACTTTTGCGTAGTAATGAAAACTATTTAAAGAAAAACAAACTTACAATAAAATTTATTTTAGCAATGTCTCATCAAGAAGAAAGTCAATCAACTCCTGCCCTGATTCACATTCCTGGAGGGCTTGATTCTAGTGCTGCAAGTACGTCTCTCGGCATCATCCCTGAAAATAACCTTCTTGAGAGTTACACTCGACTCTCCATTAGTCTTGAAGAAAACGGCCTATTCAAAGTAAGAAGAGAAACACTATCATCAACATAACGCCAAATGTTACTGAGATGAGTGCCTCATTGAGTGCCTTTTGTTTTATCTCTCAGGCTGCAAGTCGGTCGTCTTCAAGCTCCGCCACTGCAAGTCACCACATGACATTGGAAGAGCTCCGAGCTGTAAATCGCTATGCCGAAAGCACAAAAAGTCTCTCATATCTGCCTCAAGTGAGTCGGTGACTTAATCATTTCATACTTAAATAGTCCAGAATTTCTGAACCTTGTTAGTTTAGTTTTACACTTTTATGCATAATTATCAAAGCTTTGCACTAGTTTGTATTTGGCTTCATGCTGCTACCTTATTATTTTATGAAAGCTTTTTACTTTTGTAACCATATAGTTTTAATTCAAAATAATAAAATAATTTCCAAATAAAAACTTGCTTAGTTTTGAATATTTTCTCATCTGTTATTTTAGTGTACAGTAACGTCCTATACTGCTTGTACTGAAGTCTTCAATCCTTTCTGGTGGTGTACAATTTTTTTCATCTTGGTTTTGAAACACTGAGTTTTCGCTGTTTCACCCCACATTTGTTCTGACACTTTTTTGTTTAAGTTTGCATTCTGTATCACATTTTGTAAACTGTTTTCTTTGTAAAGCACAACAGACCATTTGTTAATGCTGAAACATGATGACAAGTCTGGGTTTGGTTGTAGCTTTCTGGCTTTTTCCTGCGGTAAGTGCATGATGCTGCCTTAATCTTTTCTTCAGACTCTTAATCCCTCATTTTACCTTCCATTCACTAACTCAGTCCAGATATGCTTTGCTAGTGGCTTCAATTTGCACTGATTGACACTGGTTGAAATGTGAAAGCTGTAGCTGTCGAAGTAAACGGAACCAGTTTAGTACTCTGTGGAACTTGTTATCCTATTAGGTAATTGCAAACTATTGATGGTCTTTTAAGCAAGGTTTCCTGAGCTGTGAAAGTCAGTAGTATCCACTTCATAATGATAATGTCTTGTCTTTTGAAATTCAATTACGGCTCTCCAATATAAGTTGCAAGTGTTCTTTTATTAAATCGACCTACTACAATATTAACCTCATCTGTTTCCTTTGAGGGGAAAAGCAAGACCATTTTCTGAGATATTAGAATAAGCAATCACTATTTGAAGCTAAAAAAATCTCGACTTTCAGGTCCATGAGCGTCAGACAGAACGAATGCGGACTCGCTCAGAGTGGTTTTTGACTCCAACTGCTGCAGCACAGTTTGAATGTGCCTATGGTGGAAGTCTTGATTCTGACCCCACTCTTCATGTTCTGCGAGGTGCCAACACCCGCTCTTCATCTTCCATCATTGGTATGTTTTCTTTAGACTTCCTCTTCCATAAAAAAAAAGGGAGGGGGTCAGATGATAACTGTTTTCTATTTCTTTCAAGGTGCAGGGTTGAGTGCTAGCGCGGAGTCGGTGCAAAAGCGTCCCAGCCTCAGACGAACAAACAGCCGCAGCGAGAAAACTCGTCATCTTGTCCACAGGAACTCAAGTAGGAGGAACAAAGAAAATGGCCAACGAGGAGCAACTGAAAGACCAGAAAGAGGCGAACGGGCATCTGGATCTGGAGACAATACACCACCCTCCGACCAGCACAACATGTCCACTAACGTTACTCTTACCTATAAACCTAGGATCTAGAGCCAGTAGGCGTTTCACGATTGTGTTCAATTTTTTGCAAGAGCAACTGAGGTGTTTAAGTCTGCATATAAGAAATTTCACGTTATATATTGTAAGCCTATTATAATGTTAATTCTACAACTGCATCTAAGATAAGCTCTATGCAAAGCAAGTCCTAAATACATTTAAGGAATCTTTTACACCTCTTTGGAATACCAAAGATTTTATATATTATTTTTTAATATCTGTAACTGACGTTGGGGCGTGTTTTTGTATTTCTGCGAGTGACCAATGTTTTCCTTAAAGCCTTAACTTTAAAGCTTGGCTGCTTTTATATTCTATTGGTTCTTTTATCAAAATTTTGTATGTGTTTCAATACTCTTTTTCTTTCTAAGCAGCTCGCTGTAAAGACTTAGCGTAACGTATTATGACTTTCAATCTACCTGCAGGTTTAATAACAGGAAGGTTTGAATTGCATGTGAAAGTCTTTCTTCATCCTAAGGGTTTGCTAACTGAAACGGGATTCATCCCAATAGTTAAAGAAAACATTGAAATGCCAAAATAACGTATTAAAATTGTTAGATTTTGAAGTCCCCTTTTAGTGTACATCAACACCTGTTATGACTAAATAAGTCGCTATGAGAACATCGCACAACTTCATAATAATCAGTGTTTCTCAGCAAAAATTTGTCTGTCCAAAGTAACAGACTCTATTTCTGAAGATTGGCTTTTGTAATATTTTTCAAGTTATTAGGCCTTAACCATTGAAATTGTTTTGCAATTTATATTCCTGTGAGCATGTTGCATAGTTATCTTTCCAAAGGAATGCTGATTTTTATTTAATTGAACTTGATAAAATACTGCCCATGTTTAGCAAAGGTGTTTTAGGTTAGCACTTTGGCCCTGAAGTGCAATGTCTCTTCTCTTTTGCCTTTATATACAATAATTCTCATAGCATTTAACTTACCTAGAGGTGTTGATGGTGCTTGCAGTGCCTGGAAACCAATCTAGACCATTGGCCCTACTTAATGGTATTACAATTCTTTTTCACTCGTTTGTCCTGGCCATGTTTGGAAAAGCCGTCATGTGCTGTTGCCTTCTCAGCTTCAAATATGGAAGTATTATTAAACATGTTAATATCTTATTGAACACCTTACCTTGTGGCTCTGGCTATTATAATACTCTGACTGTTAACCAATTTCAATCTATAGATTATCAATCTGTTATGTTATAGAAAGTATGTTTATGGTATGTGTTATGTGTGTATCAATTTTTATTTTTATATTTGTACACTTTATGTCCGTTTCCATTTTAAAAGTAAATTTTAAATTTTCTTTTTCTCTCTGTATTGGCTTTTTGTAGTCCTTCAGTATGTTTAACCTCGGTTACAGCTGCAAAGACTTTTGACTGATATGAGTTTGTGCTCCTCAAAACATTTTCATAATTGCATATCTGAAGATCTCACTGTATTCAACATTGTGCTACAACATGTACTATCATTTACATGCAAAACAGCAGATAGAAAGAAAGGACAATTTCTTCTTCTCTTCTCCAATGAAAAAAAGTACTGTCAGTAAAATTTGCATTTATTTGTTAAAAAAATTTATTGTGCCACATTATTTCAAAATGTCAACAGGGATGCCTTTTTTTGCTCTCTCTTTTCTTCCTTTGATGCATTTGTTGGAATCATTCCCCTAATTAGTCCTTTTGCTGTTGCTGCAATCTATACCAAATGTAAGTCATGTTACAGCAACGTTTAGTTCAAAATGTTACCAAATATGTGATTACCATTATATGAATACCTGTATTTTCAATTTTTTTTGAGTTTTTCTTCAAATGTGGGATTGACCCAAAATTGAGTCAGAATACTTATTTGGTGTGTATCAAAGTATAGATGTATCTGCAGGTACGGCATTCTAATTCTAGTACTGCTTGTGACTGGTATATGTGGCAAATTCTATTGCATAGGTTTACTTCCCGAATGTTTGTCTACAGTTAAGTATAAAGTGACAATAGATTGGTTGAATCTTCTGAATACGCTTCCGGCCAAATATCTGCCAAAGAGTTGTTCATATGTGACTGATTTATCATGTTCCATGTTAATTGTGATGAACATTTTGACTGGGCTTATTGCCAAATCAATTCAAAATTTTGTCACTCCAACAGCCTGCTAAATTGGATGGTCGCATCACCTGGATTGTCAGTAGAAGTGGTTTCAATATAAATAATATGTGCTTGTATTGTAGTATACTGTGCAATAGTAATAGTTTAGAGTGAAGGCATGGATTGTGTATATTTTGTGTGTATTCCATCCGCTTAATTCAATTTTTGCTAATTTCATTTCTGAAGTGGCTGTATTGAAAAATTCACTTTCATGTCCAGGTGTATTGCTGTGCCAAATTTATGTTATCTTATTTCTTTTTGTGAACTTCATATTAAAACTCTTATCATTTCACTCATTGTACGTGGTAGGTTAATAATATTATTGCTTCAACTGCTCTCCACAGTTGTTATAGATTTTGCTATATAATGATGATAGAATATACTCATTTGCATGATATGTGTACACAGTATTAAAAACTGCCTGTGAAAATTGTTTTGTTCAGTGTATGTGGGAGTTCTGCTGAAAAGCCTTATGCTAATTATTGTAAGAGAGCCTATTACGCTACCTCTCCCCCTCTCTAAGTACCAAGAAGTAATATATTTATATGTTGCTAAGTGCAGAAGTACACCACAATTATCCTGTATTAGTGTTGTAATGGTTTCTTTACCATGACAAGTGAGTGTCTTTGACAAGTGGAGTTCCCGTAGACACGCCTAAAGACTTTTATTTAGCTATCTCTGACTCATGTAACTCATGCCTTTTTTTTTCAAATTCCATTTTTGTTGTTAAGTCTCATTGCAATTATACTCAAGGGACCATTAATAACAAGGAAAAACTAAAGAATACTGATTGAGGTCAACTGCTTTGTCATTCATTCTCAGCTATGCGAATGTGAGACTAAAGTAATTTTTTCTTGTAACCGAAGGAATTGCAATGAGACAGTTGTATATTATATTCCTTGTACATTCTTTCACAGCATTTTGTATATGATGAACAAATAAATCGTATTTGGTTTTCTAGTTTCCGTCTGTTCCGTTGGCAGTCCGCTTTTCTTCCAACAAACACGTCCGCAAAGAGGCACGGACAGTGCGCCAGTAGACCGGCCCTGGCGGCCAAAACTCTAGACGCGTTTTGAGCTCCAGAGTCACTACATGCGACTCGAACGGAACGTATGACCCCACCTATGGATTCCTCGTTCGAAGAGCAACCCATTGGTGGGGTCACACGTTCGGTTCGAGTCCCATTTAGCGACTCTGGAGCTCAAAACGCGTCCAGTGCTTTGGCCGCCTACGCGTCGTCTGGCCCACTGTGCGCCTCGATGCAGGGGCGGATATTAATTTTGCGGCGGGGGAGTGCCAGGGGCCAGGAGGGCAAGGCGGCAAGGGCGGCTGCGAGATGGCAGGGCAATGTAGTGTAGTGCCACGTAGTGCCCTGCTGCCCGGCCGCGTAATGACTGACTGTAATGAGGAATAAGTCCGATAATACCGGATAATGCCTTTCCGGTGTTTCCGGACCCCTGTCTGCAGCGAGGGGCTGCATCCAACCATTACAGCCTTCATAAAGCTCCGGGCATCGGCCGGAGTGTCGCTGCGGGGGGAGAGAGAGAGAGAGAGAGAGAGAGAGAGAGAGAGAGAGAGAGAGAGAGGCTGCAGTGCGCGGTCCAGCCGGCAGGAGGCGCCTCTAGTACGTCATCATTACTGGGGATGTTAAGGGAAGTGCCCACTCCAGTAATACACTCATTCTGAGAGAGACCGACAGAGAGAGGGGGGTTGGGGAGACGACGCCGCGCCGAAATACCGAGGCATTGGCGGCGAGGCCGAGGGGGGGGGGGGGGGGGGGGGGGGGGTGGTTGCCTACGTCGCCTTGCCTACCCCCACGGCGAGGCTGGCACGCGAAGCCAGGCAAAGCCGGAACAGAGAGGGGTGTGTTCCAGAGGCGTGTTATCGCGGCCACAAAAAAAAAAAAAAAAAAAAAAAAAGGGGGGAGAGAGAAAAAAGAAGAGGAACCAAAAGAAGACCATAAAACGCACAGATGCAAAGAACGCGTGGCTGAGCCCGCGCCCCCCTCGGACCGGGTTCGGGTCGTGGTTCGGGGTTCCGGGTTGGAGGTTCGAGGGAGTGCACGAGAAAAGGGCTGCAGTCCTGATAGGGCGAAGCGAGGCGCAGTCACGGCGCCCTCCAGCAGACTGATCTTTCCCTCTCTCTCTCTCTCTCTCTCTCTCTCTCTCTCTCTCTCTCTCTCTCTCTCTCTCTCTCTCTCTCTCTCTCTCTCTCTCACACCACGGCCGGGGCCTCTCGTCCGGGACGACACTTGCAGCCTCGTCTCCGCGGCGCGCGGCTTCCCTCCCCAAGTGTCCCACAGTGTGCCCCGGTCCCCATTCACACTCGCACCGCTTAATCACACTCGCTCCACTTATTCGGCCTCACACCCCAGCGCTAATTCGCGCTAACGAACAGGCACTACGAGATAAATATGCAAATTAGGGAGAGGCCCCGGCCGGCCGCATCGCCCCGCATCGCCGCATCTCGGCCTCGGAGAGCCTCGGAGTGGCCGGCCGGCCGGGCTAATGCTCACTATCCGTTAGTGTTACGGAGAGCGCCCCGCCCCGCCCCGCACAGTGGGCCAGAACACCGGTGGAGGCGGACAAAACTCTAGACGCGTTTTGAGCTCCAGAGTCGCTAAACAGGCCTCGGACCGAACGTGTGACCCCACCAATCGATTCCTCGTTCGGAGAGCAATCCATTGGTGGGGTCACTCGTCCGATTCGAGTCCTGTTTTAGCGACTCAGGAGCTCAAAAAGCGTCTGGAGTTTTGTCCCCCTCCGCCGGTCTTCTGGCCCACTGTGCGCCCCGCGCTCGGGGAGCCGAGCCCCGAGGAGGGGCGCGATTTGTTCCCGTCGGCGTTACGTGGTTTCTGAACGACCTTATGCGGGGCGTGGAAGAAAGGGGCGGCCATATCAGGAAAAGGCCTCCAGAAATCTCAACTGCGCGGCGCGGGGCGGCGGTCCGTGGGGACGCGGATGAGAAGTGCGTCCAC